CATAAAAAAAGGAAAGAATGACAAAGTTATAAATAGGAAGTTATGAAAGACAGGACAAAACATGACGCATCTGTTCAGATTTTAAGTGGCAGTATGGTCTAGTGGTTCGAGCATGGAAATAGACGTCAGGAACTCCTAAAGTCTAATAGTGACTGCCACTGGCTTGTGACGTAGGGGTGGGTGAGTCATCTGGGGTGTGATGTTCAAAAGTGTTCAGTTTTCATTTCCTTCAATGGGAGCCGAGCTAAGCCAGTGCAGCGTGCTTTTGAAAATCTCTTGCTTGTAGCTTCATTTTCAGAGGTCCTGAGCACTCACAATTGCTACTGACATCAACTGGAGTTGCTCAGCTATTAAACGTGCTACCTCAATTTTCTCAGATCTAACATGCAGCTAATAATATTTGCTTCATCACATGGCTGCTCAGAGGATTAATTAGTTGAAATGGGGTTCTGTTCTGAAAAGTGACTATAAAGATGATACTGAAGGGTTCCAGGTTTGTTGTCTCTTCATTATTTCCATATCAAATGTGTACTGTTTACTATTAAATTGATGTTTTCTCTTACTACCAGCCTTGCAGATGGAACCTGGGAACCGAAAATCAAACTGGTTTCTTTCCCTCTTGTGCACAATCATCTGTAATAGAGGTTCTGGCAGCAAAATTCTTCCCTCGGTGATACCTGTGCAGCCAGGTTGTCTGCCAGTTCTGCCTCTGGTGACAAGTGTGTAACACCATTGCTTTCACTGGGGTTGCATAGATGTAACTGATTGGAACCTAGAGCAAAATTCTGTTGCTGATGCACTTGTAGAAGTAGAACACAATTCCTGCTGGTTTAGCTGTATTGGCTCTCCAAGGCTAACAAGTAGTACACACTTATTTTTGTGGAGTAATAATTAGTTATGATTTTGAATACTGGAGGAGAGCAGATCTGTTGAGTAAGGTAATATTTTACCTAGTCATATTTTTTTTAAAAAAGGACATTTTGAATACCCTATAGTCCTTTACATTTTCAAAGCACTATCTACATGTGCTAGGTATTACTAAATCCTATATTATCTAGTTTCTTCTTTAATGATATGGATGAAGGAATAAACAGTGGGTTTATGAAAATAACAGATGAATTGGGTGAAACTGTGAACACCAGTAAAGACAGGGGAGATAATAATCCCAAGAGACATGCAGAGATTCATCTTGGGAAAAGGTAAACTGTTACAGCTGAGGGGAAAGAATCCAAAATAGGCACTCAGTTGGAGAGAGACATAAAATGAAATCAAGAAGCTGAAAAATTTAGAATGAGTAACAGCAAATAAATAAATGAAATGCTGACCATAAAACGTATTCGACTGTAGGAAAGTCTCAGGAAAAGTGATGGGAGCCCCATTGCGTGACAGATTTTAAAACAAGGCTTAGTCGAGTATTATTCAGACTTGGACAATAGGTGAAAACACTGCATTATCAGGAAATAAATTAACTCCCGTGGGTGGCCTTTTCAAACGCGGTCCACCATGCCTTAACTCTACTCCCATTAAAATCAAGGGAAGTTTCACCAGTGATTTCAGTGGGAGCAGTTAAGCCAACACTGAGCTATTTTGAAAATCCTGCCCCGTAGTCCTAGACCGTTTTCTTCTTTGTGGGTCAAATTCTGGGCCAGCTGACACCTTCCTGCACGCCCCCTTATTTCAATAGGCTGGTAAAGGGGCCGGGTGACTCTCCAGCTGTTCTGCGGGACTCACTCCAATTATATACCCTTTCTCCCCATGGTCTGCTCCCTCCTCCTCCTCTTAAACTTGCTTTGCCAGAGCCTTTCACCGCGGGGAGCCCTGGCTTAGATCTAAAACTCTGGGGTCTCTCCTCATAGGGATCTCTGGGCTACAAGGAGCCCAGGGGCCTCTCTCCGTGTGTTGGGGGCGGGGGAATAGGGGGCTGAGACAAGGGCCCAGTGGCAATAGGACGAGGCACCGGCGGAGGGAGGACTGGAGGGATGTCACAGACTGAGCTAGCGCAAGGCAGACAGCTGGGTGGGTGGGTGCTTTCGTGGGGAGGGAACGGGGCTCCCTTCCCCCCAGCCACCCATCAGCAGGCGTCCCCCTGCTCCATTTGGAAGAGCCTTGAACCCAAACAAAGCTGCACTAGGCCGCTGGCGGACGGAAGGACTCTGCGCTCCTGGCTTCCTACAGGGGCTGCACCTGTCCGGGGCCGTGTCCGCTTCAACCGCCCCAACCTCGCAGCGGCTCCCTGCCCAGCGATCACAGGCTCGCTCCACCCTGGGGCCCCGGGCCCGATCCTGCCGCGGCTGAAAGCCACCCTGGGGCCCGCGGTCACCGGGTGCTCTCTGATGTGGAGCCCACCGCAGGGGCTGAGCTCTGAAATTACCGCGCGGTAGCGCTGCGTTATTCACAGTGGCAGCGGGCGGGCTCCCCCAGTCCTGTCCTCCCGCTACATTTCCTCGGCTCTCCTCCTTGTATCCCGCTGCCCCGGCCGCTCACAGAGTAGCTACAATAGCTACTGTCCCGAGCTCTCTGCGACTCCCTGCCCCTCGGGGGAGCAACCCGCTCGGAGAGCAGGTGGCCCGAAGGACCAGGCCATACAGACAGCGCGCTAGTGACCAGTGCAAAGCTTCACTTCAGCCGCCGAGTCTCGATCCCAGTGACATGGACATCAATCATCTAGAGCCATCTAGTCTCGAGCTGATGTAGGGCCACAGAACCTATTCCCACGGCCTGCATCTCAGTCGTCTTTAGCTCTTTATACTCACATAGTCTGCAACAAGCCAAATTCACACCCATATAATCTAATCCCGCAGTGTCTATCTAAATTATAACCACATCATCTAGATTCCAGATTCCGAGGCCAGAAGGGACCAGTGTGATCACCGAGCCTGATCTCCTGCATAT